TCTCTATTATCCTTAGTAGCGTTATAACGTAATTGCTATTATAATTATTATTATAATAATTATTATTACTATTCTTACTGTTATTATTATAGATATAATAGTTATTATCGTTATTGTTGTCACTCTTACCATTACTACTATTATTATCGTTATTATATTGTCATGTCATTTTCATTATTATCTATATTATCATTAGTATTATCATCTTCGTTGCAATTATTACGATTATTATTGTCGTTATTAATATTATTATTACTATTATAATTAGAATTATTATTATAGTTATTATTGTCGCTTTTATAAATACTATTATTAATATCGTTAATAATGTTTTTACGTAATTTTCGTTAATATCGTTTTTTTTTGTTATTATCATAATTATTATTATTATGATTGATATTATTATTATTGTTATTATTTTCGCTGTTATTGTTACTATTATTATTATCGTTATTATTATCGTTATTATTGTTATTATGGTTAATGACGTTATTAACGTTAATACGATTAATAACAATATTATCGTTAATATTGTTATATTTATTATTATTGTTATTATTATTATTATGAATATTATTATTACTATTATAGTTATTATTGTTGTTGTAACCGTTACAATTTTTGTAATCGTTCTTTTTATCGTTATTATCGTTATTATCGTTATTATCGTTATTTTTATCTGTATTATCGTTATTATTATCGTAATTATTATTTTCGTGATTATTATTATTATTAACCGTAGTATTATCGTTATAATCGTCATTATAGTTATTATACGTTCTATGGTTGTTATCATTATTGGCTTTATTATCGTTATTATTATTATTATTGTTATTAACGTTATTATAGTATGTTACGTTATCATGGTTATTATCGTTATTTTTATTATCTTTATTATAACTAATTTTTATTACTTTTATTATTATTATTATTAACTTTATTATTCCCGCTGTTATCTCTACTATAACTATTATTGTTAATATTTTCTTTATTAATGTTATTATCGTTATAAACTTTACTATATTTATTATCGTTATTTTCATGAATGTCGATATAATCATTATTTTCTTTCTTTATTGATATTTCTGTTATTATCGATATTATTTCATTTATTATTAATATTATTATTATCGATATTATCGCCATTATTTTTATTATCTTTATTAATATCCCCATTATCGTTATTATCGTTATTATTATTACTATCCATATTATTACAGATAGTCTTATTAGTATCATTATTATTATTAATAATAATATTATTATTATCATTTCTATTATTATAGTTTTTATTGTCGGTGTCCCCCTGTGGTTTCGGGGAAGTAGAATACTCTCGCGGCACTCCCTGCTTGTCATATGCGGCGATTAAATCGTTATGCGTTAATGGAGTGTGAATGTTATTGCATGGCTATTCCTTCCTTTGTTCTTCTGTCATATCATTTTCTATTCTTTCTCTCACTCTCTGGCTTCCATCCGTTTCTTTCCTTTCTTTAGAGGAGCTTGCCTCCCATCAATATATTATACATGACGGATAATACAGCGAAAGGCAAAAGCGGGCGTGGGAAGGTCATCCACGCCTCGGTTGTTTCAGGTGGTGGTAAAACTGGCCTGCCGCTATCGTCATCCAGCAACTACCAGGAGTTTGGGTTAGGCAACCTGGCCCCAGATCTGGATAATGCATCAGGAATGGCACCGAAGGTATGCGACCTGGACGGCGGAGTGCCGGAGGCGCCACGAAGGGTAAGATATGAAGAAGGCCACTTAGAGGAGTGACAAAAGGCTGCCAGGGCTGTTGATATCATGCGGCTCTCCGGATTGACGTCATCTATCCAGCCAGCGAAGTGGACACCACAAGATGGAGAAAGCCAGATACGTGCGTAAGCGAAAGTCCTTCCTGCCAAAATTAAGTCGGTTGATACTAGACAGCCAAACGTATACAATGCGATTAAGCAAGGGCTCCCAGAACTGGAGGACATCACTGACTGTCTAGAGTTTATGTATATATCTCGAAAAAAGGACAATAAGTGACCATCACACGAATTTCTCATAGCCCATGGGCAAATACTGCTACATATGCTGGCGCAATTAAGAGAGTAGACACAAGTCGGCCGCAGAGGACTAAAAAAGGCCTCAAAAGACCGAGGCAATAGGCGACGACGACCGAATCCACCAAGTGGACGTAAGTAGTCAAGAAGAAAGAAAATAAGGAAAAACCAACGAAGAAAGCGACGAAACACTCACAGTAGGAAAAAAGGAAGCCGAGGAAATAGAAGGACAGGCAGAGATAGAGATCAATGCCGGACGCAATCCTCCTGAAACCTGCACATGGTAAATCTTAGGTAGACGTAGTCGGAGCCATCCACCAGCGCATCAGGACCAGCACATCGGGACTAGCGCCTTAGGTGTAGTCGTTAGATAATTCCGGTAGACCAGAAAGGGAGGGGTTCTCCTCGAACTCAAGAAGACCAATGCGGAGAATGGGGCCTAATATGCAGAAATCCAGAGGAAAGAAGTAGGAGACACGAGCAGCATCACGGAACTGGTCCCCAGAACTGCGCCGGAGAATCGGAACAGCGATTACTGTGCATCGTTGATCGAAGTCGAAGAGACCCTGAAGTGGATTGTGGCAGACTACGAGGGAAATCTCCAAGTTAACATGACGAACACCAACGCGGGATCACAACTACTGGCCGTCGTAAAAATGGAAGAGGAAGCAGCTGCGAAGCTTTTGAAAGCTGGCCGATTGCTGGACGGCTTCGTCAGCTGCAGGTTCAGGCGAAGAGCACAAGAGAGGCGATGCTACCGCTGCCACGACTATAGCCAGTCGAGCGCCTCGTGCATGAGCTCTGATCGCAGTTACGTTTGGGTGAGACATAACTCGATAACTTATGTCATTGTATGTCTCACCCCGAATGACCGGATAGACGATTTCCAGACCAAACTGGACGACCTGGAAGATCCGCTGAAGGAAATGCATGGGAATCTCATTGTGGCTGGATCAATGCCATAGCTCTCGTATGGGGGAGGCCAAGCCGGACTCCAGAAGAAGACGAATCATGGAGGTGGTGTCGAGACTGGAACTAACAGTACACATCACAGGCTCGACGTCAACCTTTCGAAGATCTGGCTACAGAGAGACGATCCCTGACGTCTCTCCAGCCAACGAACACCTTGTGGCAATTGTCGCATGCTGGTGGGTGATCGAGGATTATACCGGGAGTGATCATCAGTTCATCCTATCCGATGTACACGATAAGAGGCCAGCCGTGACAAGTGCAGAGCGAACCCCGGTGGAATATCGCAACAATGGATTGAGATTGGCTGTCATCAGTCATAGATGAGGGTTGGAGATCCCATCAATTTGCTTCCGCGAGTCCATCGCCGACTGCACAGGCCAGGATGATCAATGCAGCATCTATGCAGTTCTTCCAAAAGGCTTGCGCGGTAGCGGTGCCAAAGTAGAGCACGAAACGGCAGTGGCGTCCTGCATACTGGTTGACGAACAAGATTCCAGAACTTCGCAGGAAGTGCTTAAGTCTTCGCCGGTTAGCACAACGAGCGAAGAGACGCGACCTCGACGCTGCTCCCTCGGCCGCAGAGTTTCAAGCGGCGAGAAAAGTTTTGAAGGGAACCATCACGGCCAGTCAATGACGGTGCTGGAAGGAGCTGTGCTTGGCTGTCGACCATAATCCGTGGGGATTAGTGTACCAGATCGTCACTCGCACGATGGGGACTCTCACGCAAGGAATCCACCTGGACGCGAGGACATTGGCAAACATCATTCATACCCTATTCCCCTCGCATCCAAAGGGAGAAATTGGCACTGCTGCGTCTTGCAGCTCCGTGGCGCCACAATTTACGGAGGAAGAGCTACTCAGGACCGCACTTTCGATTAAGAACCAGAAAGCTCCAGGACCAGGCGGCAATCCAGCGGAAGTAATGAACCCCGTCGCACAGCGACATCCTTAAAACACAATTGCGAAATATTATATATAGTATATAAGACACCTTGCGAAATATTTACAACATGTTGCTTAGGGAGGATATCTTCCCCATCCCGTGAAAGAAAGACAGACATGTACTCATAAGCAAGGGCAAGGGTCCAGCAGATGCCAATTCGTTATACAAGCCTATTTGCATTCCCGATGCGGCTGGCAAGATAATGTAGAATCTGCTTAGGCTACGTCTGCACGCAGCCATGAGGTCTGTGAGGGATCTTCCCGCCCGCCAGTAGGGATTTTGATCCGGCTTCTCAACCATCCACGCAATCCAGGAGGTTGTCACGACCACAAAAATAATGGAGCGAGGGAATCATCTATCTCACCTTAGAGGTCTGCTGGCCACCTTAGACGTGAGAAATGCCTTCAACTCCGTCAGGTGAGACTTAGCAATGGAAGCACTCGAACGTAATTACAGCGTCGGGGTACATACTCCGAATTCTCGGGAATTATCTGAACGATCGCTTCCAAGAATACAATCCTTACGATAGGCCAAGAAGCTTGGAGTTGACATCGGGGGCAGAACAGGGCTCCATACTGGGACCGGACATCTGGAATATTTTGTACGATGGTATCATACGTATGGCAGTCCCTAATGGTGCTTTCTTAGATGGATACGCTGATGACATTGCAGTTATGATAATTGCACCACATACGGAGACGGCACAGTTGCTGCTCAACCAGATCTTGCGCAGGGTACTCTCCTGGGTGGAAGACGACGGGCTATCACTAGCAGCTCAAAAGACAGAGATCGTGCTACTTTAGAAGAAGCGCAGTAACACCTTGCGCAGTTTCATTGTAGTAGATGCGGCGGTCCAGACTAAGTCGACTGTCAAGTACTTAGGTATAATGCTCGATAACAAGCTGAAATTTGGTGAGCACATAATTAGGGCAGCCGATAAGACTGCAAAAGTGGTAGCTACGCTTGGCACACTCATGGCCTAAATCAACGGACCCCGAACGTGCATCGGGCGACTACTGATACGCGCAGCCGAAACAGTGATGCTGTACGGTGCGGTAGTTTGGGCCGAGGCGCAGCGACACCATAAATACCTCAAGCGCATAGCAGCGATACTGAGGAGGTGCACTCTCCGAATCGCTTGTTCCTACCGGACGATATCTGAGCCCGCGGTGCATGTGATCACGGATGTAATCCCGATCGATCTACTAACCCAGGAGAGTCAATCCGTCCACCACCAAAGGCCCGTTCTGGGAAAGGAGGAGGCATCAAGGCTCGCCAGGTCTACCAGCATCGAGACTTGGCAAAGCAGATGGGAACAGGTGCTTTGTGGTATATGGACTGCCCAACTCATCAGTCGGCCAGACAGTTGGCTAAACCGGGAGGCGAGCGAAGTCGACTTCTACCTCACCCAATTTTTGATAGGGCATGGTCTGTTCTGCTCATTCCTCGCCAAAATGAGGAAAGTTGCATAGGGCCCCTGCCCATATAGCGACTAAACCGCCGACGACACATTCTTCTAATGTGCCCGGCGGAGCGTCGAACGACTCGCCTTGGAGCAAGTCCTCAGAATAATTTTGCCAGACAACGTCTTCGAGAAAATGCTCCGAGGTCAGAAGGAATGGAACAAGGTGGCTTGGTACGTCAAGGCCATCTTGCGCAGAAAAAAGAAGGAGATGGGCGGCCCATTGACCTACCCCCAAAGTTTCTCCAGGCTCTTGCCCCGTAGAGCCGATAGGAGAGTCCCGTAAAGGGACCTGTTGCAGTGGCGCAATCCCGAAGTAATTCGATATGTTGGTGCCGTGATTGTTCCACTATACCTCTAGGATGGATATGAGTTTAGTCGGTAGTTCTTATTTCAATGGTGATCGCGACACTCCAGGGACATTAATGGGTGAAGCAAATAGAGAAGCGCTCCTATGGCGCACGGGGCCTCTGGGTGAATGCGTAAAGATTGGCAAACTCAGACCATCAAAAAAAAATTACTTTCGGTGTTATCGCTAACTTCCTGTTATCGTTGTTATTATCGTTATTATCTTTATTATCGTTATTATTATTATTATTATTATTACTATTATTATTATTCTTATCGTCATTATAATCGTTATTAACGTTAATATCGTTATTATTGTTATTATTATTTTTTTCGATAACACTATCGTTATTAAAGTTATTACCGTATTATCGTTATTGTCGGTATTATTATTATAATCGTTATTACTATCATTATCATCGTTATTATCGATATTATCGTTATCTTTATTACTATCGTTATAATTATTGCTATTGTTATTATTATTATTATTATTATTATTATTATTATTATCATTAGAATTGTTATTAACATTATCATTATTATCGTTATTCGCGTCAATATCCTTATTGTTGTTACTTTTATTATTATCGCTATTATTATCGTAATAAACGTTATTAACGTTATTATCCTTTTTATGGATATTTTCCTTATTATCGTTACCTTTATTATTACCGATATTATTGTTATTATTATTATTAGTATTATTATTATTATTATTATTATTATTATTATAATTTTTATTATTATTATTATTAATTTCCTTATCGTTATTATCGTTATTATCGTTATTTCTATTATTATCGTTATTATTATTATTACTATTAATGTTGTTCTTATTATTATTACAATTATCTTTATTATTATCGTTAATATCGTTATTATCTTTTTTTTCGTCTTCCTATTACTATAGTTATAATATCGTTATTATTATCATTGGTATTGTTATTAATATTTTTGTAATCGTTATCACTGATATCATTACTAAAATTATTATCCTTATTATTATTATTATTATTTTCGTTGTTATCGCTATAATCAATATTATTATTATTATCATTATTAATATTATTATATTTATTATTATTTTTATTATCGATATTATTATCGTTATTATTGTTTTTATCATTCTTATTATGGTTTTTATCGTTATCATCGTTATTAACAATTGTATCGTTATATTTATTATTATCGTTATTATCCTCATTATAGTTATTTTCATTTCTATCATTATTATCGTTATTATTTGTTATTACCTTTATTATTGCTATTATCGCTATTATCTTTATTATGTTATTTATCGTTATTACTAGGGTTATTATCGTTATAACGTAAATATCATTTTTATCCTTTTTTCATTATTTTCGTTGGTAATAATATTATTAATATTTTTATTATTATTATTATTATTATTATTATTATTATTACTATCGTTTTAATTAACGTGGTTTTCGTAACTACTTTACTATCGTTAATAGTATCGTTATTATCTATATTATCATAATTATCATAGTTATTATCGTTATTATCATTATTATCGTTATTATCGTTTTTATCGTTATTTTTATGGTTATTATCGTTATTATCGTTCATTTTGACATTATCGTTATTATTATTATTATTATCATTCCTAAAGATTGTTTTGTTATTTTTATTATTTTCGTTATTATTTCTATTATTGTTGTTATTATCATTATTACCGCCATTATCGTTATTCTCATTACTAAGATTGTTATCGATATTATAGTTACTAATTTTATTAGTAATATTTTCGACATTATTATCGTTATTCAAATTAATATCATTTTATCGTAATTATCGTTATTATAGTTAGTATCGTTTTTATCCTTATTTTTATTGATATCATTATTATTATCGTTATATTAAGTATTATTGTAGATACCGATAATATCGCTATTATTTTTCTTATAGTTATTATTTCTGCTATTTACGTAGTTATCGTTGTAATCCTTCTTATCGTTATTATTGTTATTATTATTATTATCGTTATTATTATCATTATTACCGTTATTATTGTTATTACCGTTAATATCGTTATTTTCTTTATTATCGTTGCTTTTATTATTACCGATATTATTATTATTATTATTATTATTATTATTATTATTATTATTATTATTATTATTATTATTATTATTATTATTATTATTATTATTATTAATATTGTTGTTATTAATTTCGGGGACAGGGTTACTGTTAATACTAACGATATTATTATCATTATTATCGGATTTTTATTATTATCGTTATTAATATTGTAATTCATATTATTATTATTATCATTATTATTTTCCTTATCATCGTTTTTTTCGTTATTGTTGTCATTAAACTTATTATTATTTGTATTATCGTTATTACCGTTATTGACGTTAATAACCTTATTATCGTAAATATCCTTATTATCACTATTTTTGTTATTTTTATTATTATTGTATTTTTATCCTTATTATCGTTATCAACGTCATTATCGTTGTCATCGTTATTATCGGTATTAACGTTAGTTTTTTTATTAACGTTAATAACGTTTTTATCGTTTCTTTTATTATTATTGTTATTATTATTATTATTAGTACTGTTATTATTACTATTATCGTTATTATTATCGTTGTTATCGTTATTACCATTTTAATTATTTTTTTAATGATATTATTGTTATTATCATTATTATCATTTTTTTCGTTATTATTACCGTTATTACCGTCATTTTCGTTATTTCCATTATCTTCGATATTACCATTATATTCGTTCATATTATTATTATCGTTATTATCATTGTTATTTTCGTAATTATCGCTTTATCGTTATCTTTGCTATTATCGATATTATTGCTAAGAATGATACTTATATTATTATTATTTTTATCGTTATAATAATCGCTGTAATCTTTCTATTATAATTATCGTTATTCACGTTATTATAGTTATTCTGGATATAATAGTAATTATTGTTATTTGTCGATATTATTAAAGTTATTAACGTCATTAACGTTATTATTATTATTTTCGCAATAATTATCATTATTTCCATTATTTTCGTTATTATCATTATTATATGTTATTTCGTCATTATTACCGTCATTAAGGTTATTATCGTTATTACCGTTATTATTTTTTTTATTATCGTTATTATAATTGTTATTATTATTATCATTATTATTATCGTTATTATCGTTATTATTGTTATTATCGTTAATAACGTTATTATCGTAGTTATCCTTATTATCTCAATTATTGTTATTTTTATAAAGATCAATACTATAATACTTATTATAGTTAAAAGACCTATTATTATTATTTTCGTTATTATTATCGATATAATTGTTATTATCATTTTTATTATTATAGTTGCTATTATGATAGTTATGATCGTGATTAACGTTATTATAGTTATTACCGTTATGATCGTTGTTAATGTTATGACCCTTATTAACGTTATTATCGTTACTATTGTTATTATTATTATTATCCTTATTATTATCTTTATTAACGTTATTGACGATATGATTGTTGATATTATTATTATCGTTATTAACTTTAATATCGTTATTATCGTTATTATCGTTATTATCGTTATTAATAACGTGTTTGTCGTTATTAAAATTATTATTTTCGTTATTGTCGTTAATTTCATTTTTGTTACCGTTATCACAGTTATTATTGTCCTTATAATCGTTATTATTATTATTATCGCTATTATTATCATTACTATCGTTATTAGTATCGTAATTATCTCCGTTATCGTTCTTATTATTAATAAACTCATTATCGATATTAGCTTTATTATCATTATTATCGTTATTACTGTTATTATCATTATTATTTTCGTTATTATTATTATTATTATCGTTATTATTATTGCTATTATTGCTATTAATATCGTTATCGCCCTTATCGTTATTATCGTTATTATTAAGGTAATTATACTTATTATCCTTATTACCCTTATTCTTATCTTTAATATCATTACAGTCGTTTTATCGATTTCATTATTTTTGTTATCGTTATTATCGACCTTATCGTTATTATAGAATTTATGGGTGTTGTTATCGTTATTATTGTTATTATCGTTATTATTATTATAATTTTTATTGTTGTTATTACTGTTTAACAGTTATGAACGTTTTTCTCGTTATTGTTATTATTATCGTTATTATTATTATGGTTATTATTATTATCGTTATTATTATCGTTACCATCGTTTTACTGTAATTATCATTATTATCTTTATTATTTTTAGTCACATTACTATCTTTATTTTTGTATTCTTTATTATTATTAATAAAATTATCGTAATTATCTTTATTCTTAAAATTGTTATTATCCTTATCAATACTATTATAGTTATTTTCTCCGATATTAACGTTATTATCATTTTTATCGTTATATTTATCGTTATTATGGATATTATTAACGTTATTAACGTTATTATCGTTATTGTCGTTATTATCGTTGTTGTCGTTATTATCAATATTATCGTTATTGTTATTATCGTAATTATTCTCTTTATCAACGTTATTATGATTTTTATACATATTATGGATATTATTATTATTATCGTTAGAATTATTTCTTTTTATTATTATTATTATCATCCTTATTAATATCTCCGTTCTCGTTACTATTATTATTAACGTTATTAATA